CAGTGGTGTAAGTGTGGTATAAATAATGAATGAATATGACTAAATATGAATACACTATGGGCCAGGTATGAGCAGTATAGACTAGTAAATATATAAATAGTAAAAGTCAAATACATATTAAGTAATGTAGTAAGAATGTGCAAGTATGTTACACTACAAATAAAAGTAATGTGACTGTAAGGCTGCTTCACGTGCAGACAGAATATAGTGCCAGTAGCTGCATAGCTGTAAATATATTTAACAACAAACATCTGCCAGCAACAGAGATCTGTGTGTGAAGGGGGTTAATATGCCTACTGGTGACTAGTTCAATAGACAGATCACTATTAATAGGCTTGGGACTGTTTACGTGAACACGTCAGTTTATTAGAAACAGCAACGTACATTACGACATAACAGCAACAGAGCTCTCCGGCACCTCCGACGGTATGCACAACAATGGCGAGCTCGACGAGAGGAGATTTGCTGCATCTCCGAAGTACAACAAAACAAAATATTCAAATGTGGTGCTGCGGACGGCGGCGTAAGTGAGCAAGAGGGTCGGAGTTCAGGGAGCGGATGTAGTGTGTCCCAATAGCATGCATACTGCATGCATACTGCATACCACACTACATACTTTTTAAGGGCCGCTGCAGTACATACTAAAAGTATAGAAGTATGCGATTTGGAACGCAGGGCTGGAAACTTGGATCACTCAGAGCAGACTGGAATTTTTCAGCAGGGGGGCTTTAAAGAGACAGATGCTAAAACAGCATCTCAGAGTGAGGTTAAATATAATCCAACATTAAAGCATGTAAACATTCTGGTCAGGGAAATAATGGGTTTACGTTCCGAAAAGGTGAATAATAAGTTTAAAATAACAATGATGCCATGTTCAGGTAATGTGTGAGTTCCTGTATTACCAGTTTACAGCTCAAAAGTACCATTCATGTCAACATCCAAGTCATAATTACGACGTATTTTTCTTAAAGCTCCAATATATCTGATTTTGCTCTGAATGTGTTTGAAAAAAGCAAATGAATATGGAGTTCTTTATGGATCACGCACAGTATTGTTTACATACACTCTACGATTGCTAATGTTACTCATTCACAGGTCAAGTAACACTCCATCTGTTTACAAATAATTTAGGTAGGTAATTTTATTGACGTAGGCTGTGTTTTTTAATGGTCTTTTTAACATCATGCCGGAGGACTACAGTTGAAAATTAACCTTTGGCTAACACTGGCACATTTACAGCAATGTTCATTAATGTGCACTGTCCTCTAAATAAATAAAAAATAAAAAAAATGAATAAATAAAAAAGTGTTGCTAACATTTGTGTTACTTGTTCTAGTGTGTTAGTGTTGACCATGAGACTGGCAGCCATCTAGTAGCATGAACACTTTAACATCCCACTGCTTCTTTCCACCCAACATGACATGATGATGGTATAGCTGTTCATATGTGCCAGGAAGTTCGGTCCCTGGCACAAAAGCTGGACTTGATGAACGCAGCTCTACACCCTTACTTCCTGTCATTACTTTCTGTGTTGGCACTGAAGGTTGCTCTTACATGCTGCACTGCAGAGTCATTTAGAGCAAATTTCTAGAGATAATGGGCTGCTTTAGGAAAATAAACATGCATGTGCACGTATGTTATCACTTCTTTTATCTTTCTCTTTAATGCGAACACACACAGACATATTCTACTCGACTCACCGTCACAATAAGGCCCCTCTCCTGGAAGTATTTGACCAGAGGAATGGTGTTTTGTTTGAAGTTGGTCAGGCGGCGGTCGATGGCCTTGGGGTTGTCGTCTGGTCGTCCCTGCTGCTCGGCTCGCTTCTGCAGCCTCTCCTTCAAACGGTGGTTGGTGCAGGCCAGGAACACCACCAGGTCGGGAGTGCAGATCTACCGGGAGAGGTAAAGAAGCGTGAAACATCACAGCCAAACCTTCATTCATATGCAATGTTCACGATCTGACCCTGAGGAAGCTCTGACTGAGATGCAAATGGGGGAACCGAAGATCAAGTTGGGGTCAGTCTCCTTTTTGAATTTCAATGCAGACCGATCAAAATGTCAAAAATGCAATTCACACCAGAATAAAGACCTCATTCTCAGTAAGGTCTAAAGGGACTATTTTTTTTTCTTTGACAGCAGTTTTTGAAATTTGAAGTGTCCACCATCTGAATTTCACAGGATTTAATCAGCGCCATTAAGATTTAAGAATGTAGCCTTGAAAATAGCCTGCAGCTGCTCCACTGTTCATGCAGTTATATTACAGGAGGGATTATGAGTCAACAGGATAATACTGTACTTTCTCAACATTATTACCAGGTGCACAGATTTTATTTTAACAAAAAAAGATTGAGATTGTAGAGAAGGAAGGAAACACAGGAAAAGTTCTTTTTGGTGACGTGAGTAACAGCAAATGACATTATAGGTGTGATCACACATGTAGCCTTTTCCGTAACTGTGATGGCAGTTTTCTATTTAGAGATCAGACGTGAAGAGGAGCCTGTTATTAGGTCCAATTCGACAGCTTGAGCCATAAAATTCCCTCTTACCATCAGCATGTGTAAATTTAAAGCTGTGGTTACACAATAGTCTTTGTTTGTTTGTTTGTTTGTTGTTGCTACCACAACCATAAAACTGTAACTGATGATTTGTGATTACATAATGATTACATAAGTTATTATTGGGTGTTTTTGCATTGTATTTTACTTCCTGTTCTGCTGCACAGATTTAATTTTAAAACCTTGTTCTGAAATAACACATACCAATGTTTAAAGCTGAATGGTTTTATTTATTTATTTATCGGTACTTGGAGTCACATACACACAACATAGATGTATCAGCTAAGTATAATAATTTGTCAAACCTGTTTGCTGTATGTACTAATTTTCAGCAGATAGAATGCAGCATTATCATTCATCTGGGGTCATGTTTCAAGCCACCTGCTATATTTTACAGTCCTGTACTTCTGTCTTGGTCTCCACCAACTCGTGAGGGAAATATCTGGTTCTTTAGCTGCTAAATGCTCGATTGTGTTCATGAGCTACTTGCTAACTATGGCTGTCTGCTGTTTGGTGCTGAGATAATAGTGTACAGTGTTTTTTTTTGGGGGTCTTCTTTTAACTTAAATTACCTGCCTTTTAATGGTGAAGACAATGAAAGCAGTGAGACTTAAACCAAACAGCAGTTGTGGGCTGTAAAACTAAAACAATGATCTGGATGAAGCTGGAACGATCCATGAGGCTGCAGAGTTAGGTGATAATTATTGGTGGCTTTATCACTACAAGTGCCTCTCTTCACCCTACACATAGTAATTTGACCCATTGTTAACTAAGAATATTGATAAGTGCAGCTTTAATTCGTTTTTTAAAATAAAATACACAATCAAGCATATTTTCTTTCTATACCACATCTTGCTAGAAAAGCTTGATTACACAATGTGACTTGAGAAAGCTTTATATATTCACTTCAGTGATGTATGAGAGACTACGAAATCTCTATAAAAATGCTCGTGTGTAGGGACTGTACACTCTTAGAAATAAGGGTTCCAAAAGGGTTGTTCCTTAGGGGCTGAAGCTCTACCCAGAGCCATTTGCTTTTGAAGAAACCCTTTCTTCAAAAAAGGGTTTCTTCATGGATGCATAGTCAGACTAAAGCCCAGACCAAAGACTGGTGATAGGATGAAACCGTTTTAGAACATTGCAGAGAAAACTGGTAGCGGTGTGACTGTGACTGTGAACTGAGCTCGGCTCAAGCCGGCTGATGGTGTCACCTGCAACTCAGCTGGTCAAATTGCTGGTGGCTGGTTTTAGAACATAAAGCACATTGCCTGTTTCAACAACCAATTGGCTTGTAGTGAAGTCAAGTCATTTTGACTCCACCAGTGGAAAATGATTCACCTGCTGTGGCAGGTGCTTGGAAATCAGAACAGAGGTACAGAGAGTTGTTGCATAGAGATGATACACAGTCTCATCTAGTTGGATTGGTGTGAACCTGAAGGTTTTTAGAATGTAACAGAAAAGCACATTGCAAATAGCTGTATGTTTCAACTCGTCTCATTGTGAATCTTTGGTCTGAACTGGGCTTAAAGGTTCCAATAAGAACTTGTTTATTTTAAAGAATCATTATTTTGCCTTCAACAGGCGGACTCTTCCTGTTAACATGGTAAACACGACGCCATTTGAATGAGTTAGAGTTCTTCAAGTGTACTCCGTAAGCCTAAAGGCCTTTGCACACTGAGTTGTTTTTTTATCTGAATATGTAAACAATTCAGTGTGCAAAGGCCTTAAGGGTTTCTTTAAAGACCATTTTCATCCAAGAAAGAGTTCTTCTTGGATTACTGAAAGCATGGGTGTGTTTTGAGCCCTTGGGTGGGTTTTGGATGAAACCTTTACAATTTTAAAAGGTTTTCAGAAGAACACACAATGTGGTTTGTTGAATAATATATGGTTCTAGTTGGCACCTTTAATAATAAGAGTTTATTCATTTGTAACTTGGGAAGGATAAATTAAGAGTAATTTTAAATGCTGTGGGCCAATTCATAATCAGCTTCATAGCAAAGCTTTCTGATTCAGCTCAAACTACTGCAGCAGGAGATGATGTAATAATTTCAACAAGCCTACAGTGACTGTTGCCAAGATCTGATAGCAAGCATATAAACACTAGCTTTTCTAATTTAAAGGGAAAAGGTCAGGCAACAGCATAGACTGGGGCCTGAGTAATAGACATTTAATATGTGATACGACAATGAGCTTGACCGCTTCTGTTTTACAAAGTCCAATGCACAATAACATTCCTTAGTAACCAACGAGTACGTGAAGTAAACAGGCTGACGTGTGTGCTGACTATTTTAAGATCAGAGAAGGATGCTGTTATCTAATGCAAAGCAGTATCAAAGGGAAAGAACTCGGTTTCTATGGCTCCAACCTCTTAAGGTGAGGCACCTCTAGACAGCAGAGATACTCTCCTCAACTTGACCCTGACAACGGATTCACCCTGCTCATCACCACCAGGAACTTCTCTCTATAAAAAGCATCAAGGGTGTTTTATTACTATTGATACTCCGTTGTTTGTTTTCCTGCTTTGTTAGATGAAATGCACATGTTGAACACTCCAGAGTCTGCATTTGATCTGGCACACACCCACGGCCAAAAATAGCTCAGATGGTGTTGTTTATTGAGGCACATGCCACTCCGACAACGCGACTCAGTTCTGAGTCTTGCAAATCAAAGTTTCCGTTTCCATAGTGACAACATTGGTGCCCTCTTTTTTCCCCTCAGGTTGTACTGCTAATGTGGAGCAGCCATAGGTCACCCCAGGTGTTTGATGATGAGATATTAGATTTCTCATCATTAAAATGTCTCCAGAAATGTATTATCATCGCATCACGTAAGAGCGTCTATTTTCAGAAACAGCTTTAATGCCGGCAGTTCTGTGAGTGATGTTATCTCTCTTGCTTAAAGGCCAGAAAGCGTGTGGTATGTAGGCTTCCTCTCTAACACACACATGTGCACACACACAGAGTCCTAAAAACGGTGCATAAGCAGGCAGATGTTGACCTGATCGCCGTGCCTAACACGACAGCTAATACCCTTTTAGGGATATTCTGCCAGATGAGATTCAAGCACTGAAATGTGGCTCCCTTTCCTGCTGCAACATCTTCTATGACGCTGAATGTAAAAGCTTCAAAAGTAAAATTCTGTCACTTAGAAAATATAGTGGATCTGACACATTCACTCTTACAGTTTATTTTGTTCAGTGGGAAGTAGCCCTGTATAAATAAGAGATAAAACATTTGGAAAACATTCTATTCTATTAACTATCTTAAACTGTTCAAACTTTAATCATAATGAACTCTTTCCAGAAATTAATCTTACAGCTACTGTATATGAAGAAGCAGCTGATGTCAGGCATCAGTCCAGTGTTTGCCTTTAGTTTATTTTGTTCTGCCTTTTTAAACATATGGAGCTGCTGGTTATCAGTCGTCTCCATCCGTCTCCATGAACCAGAGCATTCTGGGGTCATTTCCTCTCCACCCGCCATCCATCCCCTTTTTCTCATGGAGAACAAGTCAAGACAGTTTTATTTATATAGCCCAGTATCACAGATCACAAATTTGCGTCAAGGGGCTTTACAGTCTCTACAGCACACGACACATCTATCCTTAGAGCCTTGGTTCGTCTGAGGAGAAACTCCCAAAAGGAAAACCCCTCCAGACTCTTCATTTGGTCTCAGGGGGATTTGTGTGGCATTAATTTCACTTGTCCAAACAAACAGAACTAAAGCAAACACATCATTTCTTCGTAAGGACTTGAGCCTTACAGCAACCAAAGTGGCAGAAAATATGTTCACACTGTATCATTTAGCAAACCATGGATGTATTATTTTGTAGCGGATATGTTAAAACTTCATGATTCAAGGTGTGGTTAGGTTTAGGCACAAAAAACATTTGGTTATGGTGAGGAAAAGATCATGCTTAGGCTTAAGAGACACACATATTGTGCCACAAAAGCAGCTGGAAAAGAAGGGACAGGGCGAAAACACCCAGGTTCTAGGACTCAAACACAGCTGGGTAACACTGTAATGTAGGTTGGGTGCATCAAAAGCTGCTGGGAAACGCCACAACATGCTGCTAAAAACACCCAGGTTTGGTGCCAGGAATAAAATTGGAAAAGCTGCAAAGGGTTGTTAAAAAACAACCTGTGTTGTTGTTTATTGGTCTTGAACAGTGGTCTGCGATGATCTGCAGCTTGGCAGCTTTTTACGTGTTGTTTTTAAGTGTCACATTATCTACAATCCCCTCCAACTCCTGATGACAAAATCAACTCATATAGTACGCCACCTCAGAAACATTGATATGCTGTTTGCAGAAACGTGCAATGCAAACATTTTCTTCT